CTAATGGGCTTTTATATATACAAAACATACCATTCATGATGATGATGCTTTTAGATATTTGACATAACCACTTACTCATTAATAAGTCAAAAGAAATTAAAAAAATATCACAAGTAATTAACACAAATACATAGAAATAAATTATATCACAATACACACATAAACCTGGGGTCATACTCTTCTATCAGTACACTCAATATCTTTAGAGAAAAGTAAACACCCCCAGAACCAGTTGAGGAGCTTGAAATAATTCACTACTCTGGAACTGTAAACTTTGGTGTTTTCTTTCTGTATCAGGACCTGTCTATACAAGTTCTTTGAATGTTGCTTCTGTGTTGAACAGATGATTCCAATGATAAGCTGAGTTGATCTATGCTGTGCTTGACTAATGCCACACTAGGCATGACATCTGAGTCATATTATGTGATGTCTTGGGGACTTCTCTGATTCTTTGCTTCCAAGTTGTTCCTCTAATCAGTGAGATTTACTCCTCAACAACAACTGTAGTATCTATCATTTCTAGCTTCTAACTTAGCTGATGTAGTTCTGAAATCTCTCTCTGTTTCTCTGTCTGTCTCTTGTCTCTTTATGTGTCTCTCTGTTTCTCTCTGTCTCTCATCCACACTCAGTAATTTCTGCTTGCCTCTATGTTGCTGGGTTCTTGCCCTTGATTCTGTTTTGTTCTTCCACATGTGATGGAGCTAGTGACTACTGGATTGTAAACCTCATGAAGACAGGGATTGTTTCTTTTCCAAACTTTGTATCTCTCTCCAAATAGTACTTTGTACATGGCAGATGCTGTTTGAAATGAAACTTGGACTACTCTTTCGTTTTCTGATTCCTAAGGTCATAGAATGTAAATTTAGAGTTGAAAAGGACCTCAGAGACCATCTTGTCCAACACTCTCATTTTATAAATATGCAAGTTGAGGATCATGAAGGCTAGGTAACTTACCATGGTGACATAGGTATTTAGCCTTAGGGGAAGGTTTTAAGCCCAGGTTCTCCTACTTCACAAGTAATGTTCTTTCCATTGTATGCTGCTGTTCCTTGTTAACACTAGGCATGGTATCCCAACACTGTGACACCAGTCTAGCCAGTACCCAAATTCTCTTTGTTGGCTCTTTTGACAAACACAGATGGGTTTATCCCTTTTCTATGACACTGAGATTCCCAGAGGCTGATAAGATAATCACTCTCTCTAATTTTCTAAATATTTGGAAACTAAAACTCCTGGACTTAAAGTTGTTTGTCCCAGCTATATGACCTTTACTTTTCTGGGCCCTTAATTTCTTTATAAAATGAGTGACTTGGACTAAAGAGTTTCTCCTTTATCTCTCCCCTCCTTGTCTCCTCATTGTATTCAAAACTCCCTTAAAAGAAAATTGGTAAAGGCAAAGAAACCACTCTATCCGCATAACTTTTAAGTGTTAATTTTTAAGAAAAAGAAATCTTATTTTAAATGTTTAGAACATAAAATATATACACTGAATTCATCATCATAATATTGCCATTCGTATAATGTAACTGAAACTATGGGAGCCTGTTGAATCAATCAATTCCCACCTAAAGTGACAAGATATTGCATCCAGATAACTTTATCAGGTGAAAGAATACAGATAACTTTAATAGATAACTTAATCAGGTGAGATTGTTCACTAGGTTTAAACAAATCTTGGACACTATCATTGAATTAATCAAAGGTATGTTGCCAAGGGGCAACACCTGTCTTTTCACATTTGTTGAGAGACTTGGTGATACCCTTTTGAGTCTGTATATTTGTTTGAAATCAGGAATCTGAGCTTCTTGATGAGAGATTTTAGCTTAATTGTGAGAGCCTTTAGCTAAGACTTTAGAAGGAGTCACTTGACTGGAGGGAGAAGAAGAACTCTAACACCAGCATTAGTCTTTTTATCTTCATCCCACCCTATTTGCTATGCAGAGGAGAACATGAGAATTTGGATGCCTTCATCTGCATCCTAGCAGTGTGTCCAGATAAGCAGGTGGCATTGTCTACATTGGAAGTTGAACGCTTACTGGACAATGTGGGGAAAGGCAGATTTGAGTTTCCATATGGATCCCAGCAGAAAAGCTATGCCATACATGACAGAAGCATCTTGAGGAATCTAACAAAAAACAAACTCCCAGGAGCTCTGAGTTAGCCTCTGCACTAGTTTTCCCCTGGATTCAGTATGCAATAGTGGGAGAGTGCATCACAGACTTATGTAGAGATGCTCTGTATCAATTGCTCTTACTGTACTCCCTTGCTACCTGATGCCAAATGATAATGATGGAGAGGACACTGGTGGGGCTTGTGGACTATAGCATTGGAAAACTACCCCTTTTATGTCTTACCTGCCTTAACTATCCAGACAGATAAGTGGGCCTCTTATAAATATAGAAAAGGGCAACATTGTCCAAGATTCCAGGCCCTGAGCAGCACCGACAAACTCAGGATTATCTCTGAAGGGAAACACAGCAGCTGTGCTTGGGATCCCAGCCTGCAAGTTGGGATTAGGAGAGTAAGTCCAGAGTATTCACTATATAACACTTATTTTTCAAGCCTTTAAAATGAAATGTAGTTTTCATGTTGCCTTTTAACTTACCCTTCTGGAAATTTCCACTGAAGACAGGACCTACTGAGAGTTACAAAACCTTCATTACAGAGCCACTCAGGCATTGTTCAATCAGCAAATATTTAAATGACAGGCGCTATGTTAGGCACCAGGGATATGAACACGGAATATGAAATAGTCCCTATACTTAAGGAGTTTATATTCTCTCAGGGGATGAAAGCAAGAGGAGGAGGAGGAGTTTTGTAAGGTAAACAGAATATTTTGAAGAAGACTATGATCTAAATGGAGGTATACCTTTTATTTTCTCTACAACCTTCATAAATTCTATAAAATCTGCATATACTTCTGTGCTAGATCTGTGATTTCAAAAGCGCAGATTTACTCTGATGCTATACCTCCCTATTCTTTAGAGCTGACCCTGAGGTCCTAAGGCTGTCCTAGAGAAGCATTAATTCTGACAGGTCCTATCAGCCCACAAATACACACTATCTACCCCTTGGCCCATACTCAAAAATCTATAATTTGAAGACCATCCTGGCTAAGTGTGTCCCAAGGTGATGAATTCTTTGGACATTATGACCTACAAAAGCTCCCTGGGTCTTCTGTTGGTTTTCAGTTTATGACCCCATCACCTATATTTGGTACTAAAATAACTGTGTGATAACTGCCACAAAGCTTTTCACTGAGATCATGTTATAGCAAAATTCTAGCCTTAAGAAGACAGGGCCCTCAAACGTGGAAAAAAACAAGTCTTTTATCAAAAGGTTGACTAGAATCATGATTCACTTTTTAATCTGTACAAAACCCAACAGGTTATCCCAGGAGATGTGGTTATATTAGGAACTCACATGATTTCCTGCTTTCTTCCTCTGCAATAAGCTAAAGAGACTGAGGTTGCTCTTTGCTTCTGGTTTCCACTTGTGTGGTATTAGGCTCCTTTTGCCCAGTGCTTTGGAACATTTCTGTCACTTTCTATTAAAGTTTGCAAGTTCAGAGCTTAAGAGGCTGTTTATTGTCCCTGAGGTATTTGGGTCTGCACATAAGGTATGCTACCTGCATGGGTAGGCTTCAGAGGGTAGATAGAGGTGTTTGGCTAGAGGGATTAGAAGGCATTTCCAACCAGTTATGGTGACCAAAAAGAGGGAAGTTCTTATTACATAATGATTACGGAACTAGTTTTTAGGAAAAAAAAACAGACCTTGGGAGCATTAGCAACAGTTTGGCCATGTCCCTTCTTTGTTGCCTAACCTTTAGTGGCTCCCAGTGACCTCTAGCACAAAAGTATAGTAGCCTGGCATAGAAACCCCTTAACAATTCTGCTCCAATTTCTCTCTCCAGCCTTATTTCATGTTGCTTTCCTTTACCTGTTCCGTACCCCAGGGAAATCAGATGACTTGCTGCTTCCTGAACTCGACGCATTCTGTCCTGCTTCATTTTACAGGCCATTTCCCATGGCTTCCTGGAATGTGCTCTCTGCCTGTCCAAACATTTCTTTTCCTTCAAGGCTCAGCTCAGGTATTGCTTCCTACATGAAGCCTTCTAAAGATGCCCTAGTCAAGAACATACACATTCTCCCTCCTTGAATTTTCCCAGGGCATTTAGTCTGAATCTCTCCTTTGTCCAGATCCTTAGCTTGTATACATAGCTTGTATTCGACTTCCTGTTCAACTTCTTTAGACTACAAGCTTTTTGAAGTCAGGGATTAATCATGTCATTTTTCATCTTTCTGTTACATAGTGCCTTGTACATTATGGGGCGCTTAATTAAAACTCATCAAATTCAATTGAATCCTTCAAGTGGCTAAGCAAAAACATTGAAACATTCACTCATGTGAATCATTATAAAAAATAAAGTTTCATAAATAACAGGAAACACTTCAGGATAATTAGGTCCCTAAATCGTTATTAAGCTGGTGACTAGTCCTCTCCCGGTTTTATCCCCAGGCTTGGGTAGGATGATTATTTTCAATCTTGTTTGGAGTCAATCTAAATTGGAGACCTGGACTTCAGGTCATTTTGATGTCAAGAACCTTTGAGCTGTTTCTCTCATTTTAAAAGCTTCCTTTTGCAACCACCAAAACAGTTCATTTGCCCTTCTTAGCTTTAGGAGCTGACCAAAGAAAGGCCTTTTTCATTCCCTCTGGTGCTGCTACTTCCATCCTATGCTCCTATCTCTAAAAGCTGTGGAATAAATAGAGGAAAATGGAATTCATTTAGGCTGACAGCATGAGACTTAGTGGTTGTTTTTATACCTAGAAGTTGTCTCTCCACATGACTGCCTCTAAATGGAGAAAGGAATCTCTTGAATTCAATTCAATTCAGCAAGCTTTTATTTAGGACCTACTATGTGCAAAGCCTGTGACCCTGGTCAAGACACTTAATCCTATTTGCCTCAGTTCCTCATCTACAAAATGAGCTGGAGAAGGAAATGACAAACTACTCCAGTATCTTTGCCAAGAAAACTCCAAACAGGGTCACGAAGAGTCAGACACGACTAAAACTATTGAACACAACATGTGCAAAGCATGATGCAAGATTCTGGGAGTACAAAAATAGAACTAGAACAGTCATTGCCCTTATATTCTGTTGAGGGGGAAGGGGAAGGAATAATATTCATGAAGATAGAATATATTCAAGGTAATTTAGGACGAGGTCTAACATGAAAAGCAGTTTTGCAGTAATAGAATGGAATAATAGAATACTATGAGATAATGACATGGAGGGGTGAGGCTGACATGGATAGGTGTGAGGGGGCTGGGAGATTCAGACTAGGCAGTCAATGACTCAGTCACAGGAATTCTGAGAGGAGCCATATGGAAGTAGATTAATATACCCTTTATACTCTCAAGGATGTTGATTTGATTATTATTCCCTTAGCAGGAAGTGGAAAGGTAGTATGCTTTGGGTAGATGCCTGATGGTCAGGACAGGGATTTGAGCAGCGCTGGTGCCTGGCTGGTTACAGAGGTTTGAGGTTTATTTGAGGTAATAACCCTCCAATTCTCAACTAGGCCAACTCTGCCCTAGAGGAACACTCTAATGTTGAACAGATTATCACTCCCAGAATGATGGAGATTCAAGCATGTCTTTGGTCTTAGACTGGTGGCCTGTGTGTGATGGGAAAGGCATCAGGGCAGATGACATGTCTTTCTTACTGTCTGATGTTGAAGGTAGGAGATATCAAAGACAATTTAGTGCAACCCTTTCATATCGCAGGTGAGGAAAGTTGAGTTCAAAGTGGTTAAAGGCCTAAGTGACACAGCTAATTATTGGTATAGCCAGTACTAGAACCGGCCTAAGTTCTTTCCATTGTGCCATGGTATGTCTCTGAACTACAGGACTTGGTGCTTATATACTTCAAAATTTTAAATTTCCATGATTTCATTGATGTCTTCCCTTCAGTCATCTAGATCCTCATCCATCATCAACTCCTTAATAGATTATCTTCATCAGTTTTTATGGCCATCATATGGTGGTCTTTCTTTGACTGGTGAAATTCTCTAGCCTTAGTCAGTCTGGATCTCACATGAGAAATACCCTCTCAGTTCTCAGCCTATACTCAAAGCTTTCCCAGATTTGTAGGACCTACTAGAGCTTTTTCATAACTTTCAAAAAATGAAAGATCTCCACTGTTAGGCATAGTCTTTAAAGTGGTCAAAATAGAAAGAAATGTACTATATATGCCAAAATATTTATAATATAGCTTTTTGTGTAGTAAGGAATGGATAATAAAGTGGATGTCCTTCCACTGGGGAATGGCTAAACAAACTATGATACATAAATATAGAAAGTGATGAATATAAAAAATTCAGAGAAACATGGGAAGGATTTACATGGAATTAATAATAATAATAACAATAACAATAGCTAACATTTATATAAAGCTTACTATGTGCCAGGAACTTTGTAATTATTATCTCATTTGATCCTTACAACAAACCTTGGAGGTAGGTATGATTTTACAGATGAGGAAACTGAAGTAAACAGAGATTAAGTGACTAGCCCAGGGTCACACATCTAGTAAGTGTTTGAGGTTGTACTTGAACTAAGGCATTTTGATGCAAAGCAAAATAATCAGAACCAGGAAAGCAAAATATGCAATGAAGGACCAAAAAATAACTGCAAATGAATGCTATGTGACTGTATTGAGCAAGTGTGGCCCTGATGAAGGGGAGAGAAAATATCCTTTCTTTCCTTTTCTTTTTTTGCCGGAGGAGGACTATGGGTATGGGACATTGCATACATTGTCAGATTTGATTGATGTCTCAGGTTAGTTTTGCTGATCTGCTTTATCTTCTCTCTTACTTCACTATTTGATACATGGAGTGGCTCTCTAGGTAGGGGAGAATGGAAGGATATTTTTGGAAATGTAGGTGATGTAAAACCACAAGCATTTAACAAAGAAATCCAAAGGATCATTTCCGTGCCAAGGTTGAGATATCAGAGGAAGGTTTTTTTACTTTTATTGTTCATCATTTCATACATGTTAGTTTCATATCCTCAAACTGTATGCTGCTGAGGAACATTGGCTATGCCTTTCCTGTACTTCTTTACCCTCAATGTCTTTAATACAAATCTGAGCACTTGGTAAATAGATGAGTCAAAGCTTGTTGACCTATTGATGATGCGGATAATGATGTTACCAGTGACTTGATAAACTGTTAGAATAAATAAAATAGTAACCAGTTAAATCTAATGAAATTATATTCATGGTTTAAAAAAATTGGAATTTGAGAAGTCTTGTTATTGTTGTTTCATTTTAAAGGAGAGGTCTGATCATGGAAAGAATCAACTGACCTTGACCTTCTATGTCCCAGGTCTGAGAAAAGGAACAGTGTGTCTTGGTGGTTTACAAATCATTCTGAACAGGATGCTCGGCTTTTCTAAAGCAATCGATTGAGCTAGAGGAAATGAGATGGCTGTAGAA